TTACTCAAACATAACAGGTGCACGACAATTCCATGCATTAAGCTTACCACTGAGCAGTTAAAGGGAGCTGAGCTCGGGGAGAGACAACAACTTGCATTTATATAGCCTCCTCCACGCAGCGTAGCGTCTCAGAGCACTTAATAGTAGCAGAGCCTGACTCCGAGCCGGGCTGTGATGGGGGGAGAGGTGGCTGTAAGAGTAAGGTTTTCAGGCAGGACTTGAAAAAGGGGAGAGAGGGGGCAAGGCGGAGTGAGGAGGTCGGAGAGGTAGGGAGGTGCCAGAGAATGAATGGATTTGAACACAACTGTGAGAATCTTGAAGTCGATCTGTTCGGCAATGGGGAACCAGTGGAGCCTGGTCAGAACTGGTGAGATGTGGGTATGGAGTTTGGTCCGAGTAAGTTTGTGAGCGGCAGAGTTCTGAATGAGCTGGATCTTTTGAACAGTGCAGCTCGGGAGACTGGCGAGGAGTGCGTTTGAGTAATCCAGGTGGGAGGTGACAAACGGATGCATGAGGGTTTCGGCTGTGTTTGGGGTCAGGTATGGGTGGAGGCGGGCAATGTGGTGGAGGTGGAAGAAGGTGGTCCTGGTCAGGGACCAGATGTGGGAGAGGAAGGACAGCTGGGGTTTGAACTGGACGTCTAGATTGCGCATGTTTCGGTGAGTGTGAGGGAGAGCCCAGGGAAGTTGAGGAGTTCAGATCCGCAAGCGTATGGCTTCCGTCTTGTCCACATTCAGCTGAAGGAAGTTTGGACTCATCCAGACCCTGATGTCCATCAGACAAGCTGATAGAACATCGGCGGACCTGGAGTTAGTATTGGAGGAGGCCAAGTAGATTTGTGTGCCATCTGCATGTGAAAGTTTACCCCGTGTCAGCGGATGACATTCCCAGAGGGAACAAATAGATAAGGAAAAGAAGAGGGCCAAGGATGGAGCCCTGGGGTACCCCGCAGGTGACCGGGCGGGAGCAGGAGGAGAAATCAATTGCTGAGATGAAACAGAGGTGGTTGGTTAAGTAGGACTCGAACCAAGCGAGTGTGGTCCCACTAAGGTGGCTGAGAGAGAGGCGGTGGAGGAGGATGGCGTGGTCGACTGTGTCAAACGCGGTAGAGAGGTACAGGGTGGGGGTGGAGTTGAGTGACCAGCAGCTGGGTGGGGAGGGTGTCGAGGCAGCAGGTGGTGAACTTCATGTGGGTGATTGTGGTTGAGAGGGAGGGAGAAATGGGGGCAAAGGAGTGTTAGGAGGGGGGAGTGGCAGGAGCCATGGCGGAGGGAGAAGGCGGTGTGGATGGTCTGGGTTGGGTGGAAGATGTCATGGGGCGGGGGAGCACGATGCAGCCAAGTGGATGTTTTCAATCTTTGATGAGAAGAAGTCTAGGACCTCTTCACACTTGGCATTTGTGAGGATAGAGGGGGTTTGAAGGGGTGCACGGTGGAGGAGGTGATGGATGGTGGAAAACAGCGTCTTTGGATTGTTTGCCTTCAGGATGACTCTGGAATAAAAGTCAGTTTTGGCCTGGGAAAGGGGCCTGTGAAAATGAGAGAGTGAGACATTTGAGGCGTTCTTGCCCACCTCCTAGTGGCTAGCTAGAAAGTGGTATTACACACAAGCGAGGCACAGATCTCTTCTTCGCCTCTCAGTCAGACAGCCATGAATTCCAGCCAAAGCCAGGGAAAAATCTTGTAATAAAAATTTTTGCAACATCATGTTATAAGTTGGTAAATAATTAAAAATAACAATGTTAACTCATGAAATGTTAATGTAACTTTAATTTGGAAGCTGCTTTCCTGCAGTTCTTAAAAAGAATTGTCATGCAAATTGAAACAGTTTAAGAATTTTCCAAAATTCAACTTAATCTTAACATTGAAGGTAAATGCACTCACAGGCTAAGCATATGTGAAATTTCAGGCCTCCAAGTCACCTTGAACAGGCACGTGACTTCTCATTGTTTCTCCAATCAGAAATTATTAGTGTATGTGTCTCAATGGCCATCATTAAACCTAGCATTCCAAAAAAAACTTTGAGCTTTGAGCCCATCTCTCTATCAAAGTTTATGACTGGGAGTGTAAGAGACAGAGATAGTGTGAGAGAGAGAGAGACAGAGACACACAGCCCCCCCAGTGTGTCAGAGAGCGAGAGAGGGGGAGAGAGTGAGTGTGAGAGAGAGGCTATGCCTAGAGCCCCGCTACGCCGGCAACAAATGCCGCTATGTGCTGGGCTTCTACTTGTACCCGGTGCTGACAACTGCCTCAAAATATTCCACATAGTTGGAGCCAAAACACCTATTCTATGTAGAGAAATTCCTGAAGAGCACCATCCCAGACGCTGCGCAATCACTGAGAGGTCTGTGTTACATGTAGTCGGAACAGGGCAGATCCGATCGGCTGGTACTCTGCGGCCATCAGGACATAAAAGGGCCCTCCCCCTCAGGGCCTTCATTCATGGTCGAGGTCTGAACCAGTCAGCTCTGCCCAAGGGCCCGCTGCAGAGGCGATGAGACCATGGATCACCTCCTCCTGGAGTGTTGGTACACAAAGGCAGTTTGGAAACAGACGGAATGGCTGCCCTCACGGTTCGTCCCTGGGAACCCACTGTCATGGCACCTGGTGCTTTACGGCCTCTTCCTGAGTGCTCACGACCCCAGCCAAGGCCGCTTCTGCGCTAGCAGCGCCCACATCGGAGTAACATCCCCACTCAAAACTGTGAATGAACCTGTCTAACCGTGTAAATGTACAGAGGGAAACTCGAGATGTGAACAAAGAGCATCCAATGTATGTCTAAAATGTCAGTCTGCCTCCCCCATAAAAGGGGGAGCAGCAGGGAGCGAGGTAAAGGCTCACCGTCCTACAATAGGATGGCAGAGATGGGACTAGCTCACCCGTGTAACTGCTCCCTGTAGAAAAGGGGAATAGAACCCCAGCAGGGACTCCGCGGTGACAGGGGTGGGATTGGTTGGGTATATAATGTATGCGTATGGGTTTGTGTTTGCGAGGTTTCCGGGCATGTGTTTGGGTAAACATGTGCCTGTACGGTGCACATCGTGGTGCCATCCGAGAGCAGCAAGTGTGCCTTGTCTGGGTGTGTGTGGACACCCACGTGGATGTAGACAGACAGTCACCTTGACTATACCAGTGTTACATTTGCATTCCTTACAGAAGATGTCCTCCAGTCTTTCTCGAGTACGATTGACAATTTTTTGAATCAATTCATCCAGAATTCTGAATGTTTTGTGCTTTGAATGGATGGCTACAAGGAACTGGGTTCAGAACTGTCCAATCTCATTTTACTGAAGAACTTTACAGCTTGCAGAGAGGAGACTAATATTCCCACCAGTCTGGGTTTGTTTTTGAAACCAGGGCTCAGAGATGAAAAGACTGCTCTCTCACCACCAACCCCAATGAATGTTTCCTCTTCTGAAAACACTTTGACCACTCGGACAAAATGTTTGTGTGCTGGTTATTCTGTGTGAGTCTCTGCAGTACACACTAGCATACTGTTTAATTGTGATGATATTAAGCCAAGTCTGATTATATCCTCGCTCAAAATATGCATTGTTCAACAGGAAATGCCTAGGTAGCAGGAATGACGAACATCTTTTTTCTCTTTGCCTGAGCACGAGGTTGCCAATGTCAAAATGTCATCTTAACTGAGTTGGTAACACGCCCCTCCTCTGCGTCAGAAGTTTACAGGTTCAAGCTCCTTGTTGGGATCTGAGCTCAGATTCCAGGCAGACTCTCAATTGCAATATCGTGGAGTGCTGCATAGATGGAGGTGTGGTCCTACAACTGAGATGTTCAACTAAGGACCCATCTCCCTGTTTTGGTGGGCGATAAAGATTCCATGATGCTATTTGAAAAAAGATGGAGTTTCATAGAATTATACAGTACAGATGGCCATTTCGCCCATCGTGTCTGTGCCGGCTCTTTAAAAAGAGCTATCCAAACCAATCGCACTCCCCCGTGCTCTCCCCATAGCCCTGCAAACTTGTCCTCCCCAAATAATTATCTACTTCTTTCTTAAAAGTTGTTATCGAATTGGCTTCCACCACCCTTTCAGGCAATGCATTCCAGATCCGAACAACTTGCTGCGTGAAAAAATTTCTCTTCACCTTCCCCTCTGTTTCTCCTGGTGTTGTGCCTAACAGTCCGCCAGATAAGAGTGGTTGTTCACTTCATGACTGCCACTGGGTATATTTTGCACCCCATTCACTACACTTGATAGCAAGTGCATTGAGATCCTGTATCAAGTGGAAGGGTTATTATGTATTATGACTACAGCGGCCTCAACTATTCTGGCTAACTCCACATAGACTGGGGATCGAACCTTGGATCTTCAGCTGCTTGGCTTGGTGCTGTGTTGGGGGTGTTATACACACACTGAGCTAATAGGGAGAGGCCTAGGACAGCTTCTAATCTCACGCCACACTCCTTCTGTGCCTTTTCTAATTTTTATGAGTATTTTTTAAAACCAATTAATTCTGCACATTGCATTCGAAAGAAAAATTCCCTATATTCAAATTGAAGTTTAGGAAATTTAGATCTCTCCTTTAAAAATTGATGAAAATGTAACAGCCCATAGAAATAACTAGCATAATTCACTGAGAATGAGTTTTCTTACTTAATCATCCAACTGTCGGCACAGATTCCTTACTGTTCTGATGTATGAAAAGTAAATATTAGATTATTGCCTCACAAAACCATATAAAGTCCATTTCATTCAGTAGATGCACCCTAAAAAATAAAAATGACACCAGCTGCAAGCACAAGCTTTGAAAAATCTCAAAACCAGCAATAATGTCAAAGTCCCTTTTGATGTTTGACAATGCTAGCAAGATTTCAGTAATCTTTTAATGAGCTAAATATATATCTGCAGCTTTCAAAGTAACTCTACTACACAGCGAATGCAAAATGTTTCAGTTTACATTCAGATGTACATTTTAAATGTAAATGTAAATGTCAGGAACACATGAGGCATCTATCTGGTCTGTCCGTCTGTCTTCCTTTAAACAGCTTTTTGTATTTAAAACACAAATTAGTGATTTTGTTCTCACTTTTTATTTTTGAAGGGTGAAAACACTAATTTCTTTATCACTTGAAAATAAATAATTCACACCACCCTTCAGTTCTGAGTGTACCCCTGTTTTGTGACGACTGCTTGTTTCGCCAGAAGCTTGCTCGATTCCCTTGCACTACTAGAAGGAATTCCAATAGCTGCTGCCGTGCAGCACTGCTTTTTGAAGGCTTTGATTTTCTGAATCATGCCAGCTCATAATACTTCCCTGTTTTTGGATCAAAATAGCAATTCAAACAGGGATCATAGAGAAGATCCAGTACTTCATCCTCGTCTTCCGCATCACTGCTGGTGTTATCTGTCACACACAATGCAAAAGGATTATACACAAGCGGAAACATTTCTTGGTTAAAAATAACATCCCTCTGAGCTCCTTAGCTTTTTCTCTTTTAACATCGTGAGCCTAGGTATCAAACAATTGTGTGCAGAAAGAGAGAATCAGAGCGGCTTTGCTCAATTACTTGGAAAGCAAAACCATTTGTCAACCATCTGCAATCATGGTCAGTTCATCTGATTGCAGATTGTTGGGGTTTTGTTTGAAAAAAAATCAAACATACACTCATATGCTATGAGTGAGCATATTCACAAATGTTCACTCAAATATATCAAATGCTGCTTTTGAAACCTGAAAGGCCCTGGCAAAATGCTTCTTATGTTAGGATCTTATGGTTTTAGCTCGGAAATGGTATCAAGGGAAACATATTCAACAATAGGAGCTTTCTAATATTTTGTTACCGGATTTGACTACACTTTTACTAGAATTATATTATGAGGAAGTCACACAAAGGGCTAAGATTGAATCATACAGTATGTTGGAAAATTCACAGCACATATAACTATCATCTGAATCCCCAGGTTGTGGTACCGCTTTCCAGTTTAGTCAGATTTTCTGTTCATGTACAGACAAGCATTTTAATAAAAAAATAATAAAATCATATTATTGAGATAATTAGCCTACATATATGTAGTCACTACATTCTGCAGCAAATCCCGTGAATCACTTTTGAGATATCTCGGCGACATAATAAGGAGCTATATCAAATGTAAGGATTATTTATTATTATTTTAAATGCTGTGTTTCTGTCCTTCTCCTTTTCCACCGTCCCTCTCGCTCTCTAGATTTGGGCCAAACAAAGCCATGAGAGCCATTTCTCTCCGAAATGTCCGCTCCCTCTCGAATAAAGTCCTCACGATCCATGACCATCCTGGATGAGCATATTGATATACTTGGGCTCACTTAAACCTTCCCTCGCTCTATCCCCCTATTTCTCTAGCTCCTTCCTCTCTTTTGAACACCTAACTCTGTACCATCCCTCCCTCTCCTTCAAAATTCTCCTCATTTATCGTCCTCCCAAAACACCTAGTTCCTTCATCCCTGACATCTCTTTTGTCCTCTCATCCCTCTGCCTCTGCACTGAACGCCTGTTCATAATGGGTGATTTCAACCTTCACCTAAACTCCCCTTGCCCCCCCTCTTCTGACTTCACTACATTCTTCTTCACACTAAACCTCACCCTCCACATAAACTTCCCGTGGCCACCCCATCAACCTCGCTATCACCTTGACATCCTTGTCTGTTCATCACAGACAAGCCCATCTCAGATCATTTCATCATCTCTCTCTCTCCCCCTGCATTTCCCTCCCCTTTCCAAATCCTCCACCATCTTTTTCTGACCTTGGAAAACGCTTTCACCCGAGTCCCACTTCCCCCGCTGGACTTACGCCTGCAGCGATCCTGATGCAGTCCTCAAGCTGCTAAACGATCACCACTCTCCCTGAAATCCTGGTCGGTCTCCAAATCTACCTGCTCCCCCGGTATAACAGTCACCTCTGCTCCCTCCAAGCTAAAACTCGGACGCTCAAGCACAGATGGCACAAATCCGACCTCACAATCCACCGACAGCTGTGGCTCACAGATCTCCACAACAATTGCCACTCCCTCTCACAGACCAACACTGCCTTTTACTCCAAAGCCATTTTGGAGGCTAAAAACCCAAAGACACTGCTCTCCACCATCCATCACCTCCTCCGCACACCCTCCAAGCTGCCTCCAGCCACAGGTTCCCTATCGCCGAACGGATCGATTTCAAGATCCTCTGAAAACAAAGACAGAAGTCACTGGGAACACTCAGCAGGTCAGGCAGCATTTATGGAGAAAGGAAAGTGAGTCACGACCCTTCGTCAGAACTGAATCAAGATCCTCTCACTTGTTTTCAAATCCCTTCATGTCCTGGCACCTCCCTACCTCTCTGACCTGCTTACACCTCAACCAACAACCCGTTGCCCCTGTTCCGGCCTTCTGCATGTCCCTCGTGCCCTCCATTCCACCAGTGGTGGCTGCACTTTGAGCCACTACACCCAATACTCTTCCTCTATCTCTCCACCTTGCCCTTTCCTTCCCAGCTGAAGACCTTCCTATTCGACCGTGCCTACGGTCACCTCCTCCTCCCCCAGGCTTGGTACCATGTTCCACCACTGTCAAGTGCTCAGGCACACTACTCTGCGTAAAGGACGCTATATAAATGCAAATTGTTGTTGTTGGCAGATAATTTAATCTGAATCACCTGTCCTTTTGGCATACCTCTTTATAGCTCTACTTCTCAAGTCGCACAGTAATGTGATGACCTTTATGTGACTGAATAGCACATGGAAATAACATGGCAGGTATATATCTTTTAAAGGGTTACTTAAATTCTGCAATAAATGATGAATTTAATGCACATTAACCTCTGCACAGCCTGAGTTTCAGATGGATGGCAATTTAATCTGAGTTTATACTGTACATTTGGTAGCAAACCACCTCAATTTTAGGCAATTGCTACCATCTGCTACAAACAAGACTCATTGGGGTGGGTGGGAGGAACAAATCATTTGGCAGCCCTTGTCACCTACCTGAAATAATGTTTTAAAATTATTGCTACAATTTCTATTTGTTGTTTGAACTGATCCTTTTTCATACGTGTACTCTAACACGTGACTGACTTCACATAGATTAAATGACTCTGTGACATAGTGCGAATGTTCACATAGGGCAAATTGTTTAACCTCTCAGGATCAATAACGCATTTTTCACATCAAAGCTTGACTTGGCAGACTCGCAGAAGGAAACACGATGAGAGAGTGACTCCAGTTTTCTTCAAGCCAGGTTATATTTACCTGTGGCAATTCAATATAGTAAATAAGTGCCAAATTGGATCATTGAACTTTTTGAAAATGGCCACATTCATGGATTTTTCGGAACCTCATTTGTTTTGGAGAACCGGTTATCAAATACATATGAAAACCCATCATTATACTTAAGACTAACCAATCGAGACTAAGAGTTTCACATATGGATGTCTCCTACATATTGAAATTTCTGTGTGTCTGGAATGGGGCAAACTTTCTCCTGGAGGGTTGCACCTTGCTTACCTAATTCCAGAGGGTTTTACGTTCAGATTGGTAAGTGCCAAGGCTTGGGGGAAGGCAGACTTTGTGTTGGGATAGAGCTGGAAATTAACCAGCTAAAACAGTAAACTTGTCATTGAGAGCACTGTCTGGCAAGCTACCAACAACTTGTTCAGCAGGACCATCCTTAAGGCTTTGGCTGCAGGATTGAGAGGAGCTGAGGGGGAAGAATCCCCAATCCTAGTGACCAATCTGGCCCTCCATGCCCTGCCAATGAGCCTGGCAGTACAGCCTGAGGAATACAAATTCACTGTATATTTAGAGTTATAATCAGAGTAAACAAAATGGGCCAAATTGCCTTTTCTTATTACAAGTGTTTGGTTTAACTGCATTTTAGTCAAATTTACCTTATCACACAAGGAAACTGAGAATCTAGAGAAAACATTTATGGGGTACAAAACTTCAATGAGGGAAATTTCTGCTCTGCTAAGAAAAGGAATCTTTTTTTGAAACAATGATGCTTTAACTTACATTAATCACAGATGCTGGCAGCCACGGCAATTTGTTTTAAAGTTGATGAAATCGGTGAAAAAAAAACTACATTAAGTTGTTGTCCTGACCATGAAAGATAAATGGTAGTTACACTTAATCAATTTTTCCATTTTGTGTCCCGAGTTTTACTGTCATTGCAAAACAATTGATTGATTTTGTGTACAAAATCATAGTTCAATGAGTTATTTAGATTGTTGTAAAGATCCATAATTTTACACCCTTTTTCTTCTGAATCACTCCATATGCATGTTACACATTTTCCAAGAAATCATCTAATTTGCTGCTGAAGAACATGTAGAATAATGGGCAACAGAGAGAGAGCTTTCTGCGCACGTTAGATTTTGTGATAAGTAAATATCGGGGTCAACACCCCAAGTGAACCCTCATTGACAATACAGCATTTTATAATGAGGTTCTACAATCCTAATAGTACTATGGTACTAGGTATTGGCTCATATTGTTGATTGAGACAAATACTCAGTGAATCATACAAGGGATGAACAAACACTCTGCTCTCAGCACAGGAAAGTAGATTAGGGTTTAATGTGTGGAAACTAGGCTGATTTTTACCAAAATCAACTTTTAAAATTACAATTATCTTCCAAATGTAATCATCATCAACATTCCTGAATTTTGTGGGTCCCTTAGAATCCTTGTGGATTTTTAGGCTAAAAAAAGTGCTTCACAACACCGGCTAGAACTCTGATTCACATAAACAGACTTGGACATAATTTTTCCTTTGAGAAGTCATCTGCAAAGAATCTGCACGAGCACTATTGGTTAATCTTAAATACGTATTGCATCCATTTTGTTTCATAAATCGTTAAACATAGTATAAAATTCTCTTACTTCTGATATCCTGAAGAACACTGGGTTGTCTGGGTGAAAGGCTGTTTTTTTGCTGTTTAAGCTGCTCGCTGGGCAGTATGATGGGGGGACTGTAGATATTTCCCCATTCTCTGTAAAACATATCAAAATAACAATTCACTATCATTGAAAACAAATTACAGTTAAATTTGAAAATGCAATCTGCATCAATTTTAGAAACATTTCTGACAAATGTGATGGGATAGAGAAACTTTAACCTGGGTACTGCAGCCTAATGAAACTGTTAATGAAGTTAGTACAATACGTAGAGTGGAATTCTGCCACTGATGAATGGCATGGCCTTTATATTACAAGGATCATAAATCACATGCAAATACAAAGTAACCTTTCCACCACCATTAGTAGCTGTAATGGTTGAAATCCTGCATCACCATTCGTGAATTCATCCGCCCTCATTAGCCAAAGTGTAACCTTGTGCTGGTTGGGCTGCCAGCTGGAGCGTCCAGCGTCGTAGTAAACATTGTCAAATAGAGTTGGGCTTCTCTGATTGCAAGTTATAATTATCTGTCAAATTGTAAAATCAGATCAACAACATTGTTCATCACTAATTTTTTTATCACTAAACTACAATTACTCTGTTATTAAAAAAAATGGGGAATTTAACTTTTAACAGTAGATTATAATTTTACAATATGCAATTATAAGATATTAAACAAAAAAGTTATACAACATATAATAGAGCCAGGTACACTATCTATTCTAATTGTAGCATGGGCATTTATTTACACTGGAGGAGATTTCATTAAAACAAAATTGACTTCAGATATAGTTTTGTACATAGTAAATAGAACTGCATTTGTGCTATTACATACCGTAGCAATAAAACAAGAGTAGACACTCAAACATAAGTATGCATGCTTTCTTGAGGGCAGTAAAATCATTACTATTACTGTTCAAACTGGGTCATAGGATTCCAACTGCAACACATCACATCGTATCACATCACAAGCTCTCATTCTCAGCCACTTTCAAATCACATCAACCTCAGGGTATGTTGCTTTACTTGATATGATTGTTTCCGCTTTCAAACTAACCATGGATATCAATGTGTGAGGCTGTATATGCCTCAATCACATTCCCTTGAGAAAAATGTTCTAGCAAATGTCTGCTTTTTATTTCCTAGTAGCTGTGCATCATGTTAAATGTTTAGCATTAATAATAATAATAATAATAACCCTTGCATTTGATATAGCGCTTTTCACGTCGGGAGGACGTCCCAAAGCGCTTCACAGAACACACTGTAAAGTGAATTGACTGTATATTTATGGGCGAACGCGGCAGCCAATTGCGCACAGCAGTGTCCCACAAACAGTCGTAGATTGAAAATGACCAATTTATTATTATTTTGGTTTTGGAGGGATTATTATTAGGCTCTGTGTGGAGTAAGGAAACTTGCCCAAGGTTTCGCCCTGCCTGGAATTGAACTCATGTCTCTCGCTTGCAAAGCGAGTGCTCTAACCACTGAGCTACAGGACTCCACATTGTGAGGCCACTGTGGTACACACAGCCTATGGAACGGCATTTTGTTACAGTTATTTTTTTGGGTCGGCCAGGTGTCTTAACACATGTGAAAACACGCTTAAGAGTATCTAAACCAGATTGAGAGTTGTACATAAGTCTACCTCCCACACAGGACTTCAAGCTGATCTCAAGATGCCTTTAGTTTACACTTAAACAATAAAATATGACACCAAGGAACGACAGAGCCACTGATGAATGTTCCTGAGCAGAATGTGAAAATCTGACTTTACATCAATTCAGAGTTGTCCCAAGCATCTAACCCAACCATTGTAATTAAAATTGAGCCTTCAGAAGCACAACTGAATGCATCTTGGATCAATTTATCCAACCGCCAATGCTGTTAAACCACTTTGGGAAACAAATTTAAAGTAGATTAGCTGATTTGAAATGATGTTGCTTTAAAATACCCTTGAATTTACATAATAATTGCAATTCCTAGATTAATTTAAGTCTTTAAAAATTATGTTGGACATTTGAAACAAGGTCAGTAACTGGCCCAAATTGCATTAATTAAATCGTAGATTCTTCTCACAATTCTATATCAAGTCACAGCGTGATTAGTTAATATTCCAGACCACTTTTTAGAAGTCAACAAACAAAATGAATCTTAAGTGGAGCGGTAGTTCTGGTAGAATCAAAAGGAAAGATATTGATTATATATGTATATTGAATGTATATATAGTGTATATATAGTAAGTGTACTGAAGATATTGACAGACATTGTTTAATCATGTAGAAATGAATTCAAAGTTTAAATTAAAAAAGCTATTAGATCCTAAATGCATTACAGCATGGCAAGAACATTGACTCAGTAGGGTTCCAGCAGACAAGGAATGTAAATTTGCCCAGTTATCCTGACCCATTCTTCAGAACTAATCTGACCAGTAATGGATTAAATCACTGTATCTACTTGGTGTGTTAATGAGGCAGGACAACAAAGTTGGAGGTTTGAATCTTGCTCTTTGCTGAGCTTGCTGGTTTTAGGCAGAATAGCTATAAGGTGTTACAATTCATCTCAATCCCCCAGGTTTAGGTAAGAGGGACAGAATAATATGAAAAACAATTAGCCAGTTAATTAATTACTCCTGATCATTTTGCAGAAATCAATACTGGATTCCAGCTTTACCACAAGTGAACGAAGAATTAGGGTAATGAATTTACGATCATAAGATCATTTCGGATGAAAGAATGCCCTTTCTCTCTGCCAGCACATACTGTGAAGACTCGCAATTGAGTGAGGGCAACTGGCACCCATGGGACAGGACCCGGTTGAAGGAATAAAGGTGTAAAACACAATCTGCAGGGGAGAAGATTACTACAACTGGGAACTAAACCTAAAAATACAGAGGAATCCAAACAATCTGATGACGTTTTGTTTGTGAATAAATGCATGAAAAATACAGGTGAATCCCACAAATATTTTGAGATACACTTTATACCCTGGACCAAAGAAGATTTCAGCTTTTAACTTTTTATGTCCAAAATACAACTTGGCACAAAACCAACATTTTTAAAAAAATTTAGTTTTAGTCCAAGTGTTTTGTGGAAGGTTGCAAATTTCTCCTCACCTGCACTGGCTAACTGCTGTTCTGCTCTAAGTTCTAGTCTTTACTTATTTGTAAACTTCATTTCCTCTGGCTGAAATTTTAGCTTTGATTGTTCAACATTTTGGCAAGTTTTAAAAACAAAACTTGTGGTTTAAGCTATCAAATAACAACCTCGGCGTTTTGTTCGACCCTGAGCTGTCCTTTCTCCCTCACATCCGCACCACAACTGGCACCGCCTTCCATCACCTCCGGAACATCGCCAGACTACGGCATTAACTCACCCCTCACGCGGCTGAAACCCTGGTTCACGCCTTTGTCACCTCAAGGTTGGACTATGGGAACTCTCTCCTCGCCGGCCTTCCCGCCACCTCCCTCCACAAGCTGCAGGTCATTCAGAACTCTGCAGCTCGTGTACTGTCCCGCACCAGGCTTCGGGACCACATCACTCCCACCCTCGCTCGCCTCCACTGGCTCCCCATCCCCCAGAGGATTGATTTCAAGATCCTCATCCTCACCTACAAGGCCATTCACGGCCTTGCTCCCTCCTACCTCTCCGACCTACTATCCCCCTACCTACCCGCCCGTACCCTCTGTTCCTCCGGCTCCGGTCTGCTCCACGTCCCCCGCCCCAATAGCCCTTCAGCCTCTCAGCCCCGAGGCTCTGGAACTCTATCCCCCAGTGCCTTCGCCGCCTCCTCCCTCTCCTCCTTCAAGGCCGGTCTCAAAACCTTTCTCTTTGACCGAGCCTTCAGCTCCCTTCTCGACTCTCTTCCCCCTCCTCGCTCCCTCCCTTCCCTCCCCTCACCCTGACCATTTCCCCCCTCCTCGCTCCCTCCCTTCCCTCCCCTCACCCTGACCATTTCCCCCCTCCTCGCTCCCTCCCCTCACCCTGACCATTTCCCCCTCCTCGCTCCCTCCCTTCCCTCCCCTCACCCTGACCATTTCCCCCTCCTCGCTCCCTCCCTTCCCTCCCCTCACCCTGACCATTTCCCCCCTGCTCGGGTCATGACCCAACTGTGCAGCGCCTTGGGACGTCCTCCTGATGTGAAAGGCGCTTTATAAATGGAATCTTGTTGTTGTTGTTGTTGTTGTTGTTAATGTTTTAGACGAGGCCATCAGGAGAAGTGCATCAGATTTTAAACAGTATTGAGAAATTAAAAATAGATCAATACTTCAGCTTCACAAAGACAGCAGATCAAGAGGACATAGATTTAGGGTTGCAAAGAGCAAATTATCTTGTGAACTCATTCTCCCAATCCTTCATTTACATGAGGCAAGGATGGAATTTCAAGTTACAATGGAGAATACAGGGATAGTGAAAGCCTCATAATGTATTAGACGAAACTCTAGGAATACCATCTAGGACTAGATTTATTTACGTAACATTTCAGATTGTCCAGAATTTGATACATTTTTCAATATTGCTTTTAATTTTGAAGCTTTTTTTGTTAATTCCATTAAGAACTACCGGAAAGCCGACTTCAAAGTTAACAGTGAATCCAACAATTTTAAGACGTACATCTGCAGAGAGCAGCATAAATACTTATGGAGTGACAGGCAGAGGCTACGTCAACCAACATATACTCTATTGGTACAGTTTATGTCAAATAACATCAGAACAGAATAGTCAAATGTTTACCTTCAGAAATCAAATGCAAAGCAAACCAATTATAATCTTTGCATTTGATATAGCATTTTATTATGTTGTTGAGACGTTTCAAAGCGCTTCAAAGGATTTTAGTATTCTTTGTAGGAATGTATTTTGTAGGCAAGTGCAGCAGCCAATTTGTGCTCAGCGAAGTCCCACAAATAGCCATGAAGTGAATGACTAATTTTAGTCTAATTTTATCTACCTTGAAACTTATTAGTTTCATCTTTATATGGCATAAAACACAAGATGGATACTGATAGAAAAATGAAACAGAAGTTGAATAATCCTCGCAATGGTAGTTTATTCCAACAATCTCTGTAACAACAACAAATTACATTTGTATAGCGCCTTT